GAACCTCCTGACTGGGGGACATGCCTTGTCGTTCCCCTTCACCCTTCTACATGCTCACCTCACCCCTCATCACCCCCCACCAGAAGGATCCTTTGTTCTGCACTTGGAGGGCAGACAGGCTTAACTGTGTCCTCAGGACCCAGCCCAGGCAGCCCCAGGAGTCCTGAAGGGATGGCCCTCGTCCCAGCTTGGCTCCTTGGTTAGGCCTTGCATGGCAGGTCTTTGGGCTGTAGCTGCCCACCCAGAGCACAACTCTCTTGTCTGAATTCTCCTCCTCTGTCTTCTCCATGGAGCCTTCCCATAGAGGCAACCGCAGCATCCCTCTCATCCTCCTCCACCCCAGAGTCAGCAGGATGTCTGGCCTGGGAACTATCATTCTTTTGCTCCTGGCTAGGCTGAGAGGAAGGGAAGAACCAAGTATACTCAGGCCCCTCTGAAAGCCCCTGACCCCCCTTCCCCCCAATGCCTTTAACCCTAAGTAGCTCCCATGTATACGGCTTCCTGCTTCCTGCTGCTACCTCCCTCACTCAGAGCGCCCTCTGCTGGAGACAAAGGCAACAGCTGCTTCGCTGTGCTGGTGTCCACTGTGCTGGCCTCCTCCATGCTCTTCTCACACAGCAGAGGGCAGCTGCAGCCTCACCCAGGGTGAGGAGCGAACTCTCACCCTGTGTTCCACTGTGCTGGCCTCCTCCCTGCCCTTCTCACACAGCAGAGGGCAGCTGCAGCCTCACCCAGGGTGAGGAGCAAATTCTCCTCATAGCTGTGGGCCTTACCTTAGCTACCCATTTTCTCCAGTCTCACATTACCAGTGCCCCCCACCCCCCCATTGTTCCACCTCCTCTGGGGAGCCACCTTGACCTGCTGCCACCAGCAGAAGTAAAACTGCCCAGGTGTACTGAGCCCTGGACACAAATCTCTTTCCTCACCACCTCTGAGAGCCGCAAAACGACAGGAGAGCCGGTTCTGGCATGAAAAGGTTAAGTCACAAGTGACCCAGGTCACTGGCAAGAACATCGAGCTGGACTTTAGACCCCGAGTTGGGGCCCTGGGCTCCTCAGGGGCCTGGCTACACCAGGATATCCTTGTCAGGTCTCCTGTCCCTCCCAAGGGCCTGGTCACACCCCCACGTGGCTTTCCTTTCTCAGAAACTATCTGGGGCCCATTCCCTATTTCCTCTTCCAAGAGACAACGGGCCAGGGGAGGACAGATAAGAAGGGCCCAGCCCGGACACTCACCTGGCGTTGATAGGCGTGCTGGGATTGAAGAATTCCTGGGTTACCAGGGTAGCGTACCACGAGACGGCAGTCAAAGTACAGAGACCTAAGGACCAAGAGGGGGTGCTCAGCTCTGCCTGGCCCAGCCAGCCACCAGGGGTGGGCTAGCTGCATGGTCCAGGGGGGTAGGAGGCAGGGCACTCACCCGCCAAGAGGAAGAGGGCACCCCCGGAGATGGCCACACGGCCCTTGGCGATGGGGTTACTGTCTCCAACCCGCGTACACTTCATGCCCACGACACTGAGCACCATGGCCACAAAGCCCAACAGCACCGCCACCACCATCAGGGCTCTCGCTGACTGGATATGACCTGGAACAGTGAGGTGGTACTGAGCAGGCGTGGGGATCTCGGAGGGGGTGGCAAGATGGAGGAGTTGGACCTGGATGGGAGCAACCCAGTTTGGAAGGGCTTGAGTAGAAGCCCAAGGAGGTCTGACCACTTGCCTGCTTGTGAGAAGAGACATGGACTATATGAGAACAGGGTGCGGAGGGGATTTCCCACTGGCCCTTACCGGCTCCTCTGAATGGTGCTGAGTGATGGATAGTTTGAATTTGCTCCTCTGCCGCTTTCCCTTGGGGTCTGGTGCACCCTCGAGCAGCAGGAGATAGGGCCTGGTGCCGCTCAGACTTGCCAGAGAAAGAGCTGAGAATGTGAGGCCCACCTAAGCCCAGCCTGGTCCCCAGCAGCAGCCCCTGTTAATCATCCACGGAGCTGTATGCCTGCTTCTCTCTGAGTGGGCTGGTCAGTTCTCGGCTGCAGCCAGCTCGGGGACCTTAGGTCTCTGAAGGAGGCCAGTGATCTGCCTGGATCAGGGCGCAGTGGGGCTGACTGGTGGCAGTTTCTGCTCAGGTGCTTTGCAGAGCCCTGTTGGAGTGCTGGTGAGATGGATGGCCCCGCCGAGGTCAGAGCTGTAATGGTGGCTGACTGTGGGCCAGCTTGATGGTTGAAATGCCACATCCCAGGAGTAGGGTGTGTGTGTGTGTGTGTGTGTGTGTGTGTGTGTGTGTGTGTGTGTGTGTGTGTGTTCTAGCGTTTGTGTGTGGATGTATGTGCTCTAGTGCTTTGTGTCCATCTGTGTGAGGTGTTTACACCTGTGTGTGTGTATACATGTGTCTATCCACATAGAATACGGAGAGAAGAGGAGCAGATAGTGTTAACAGGCTTATGGAACCAGACCCTCATCTACCCTCCCATGTCCTATGTATTAGTGTCCTGGTTACACAGGAAGACATCAGTGCAAAGGCTTGGGTGAATGGCCAGGCAGGCTATGGTGTCAGGACAGGGAGCCCAGGCTGCCAGCCTCTTGGGCTCCTGCCTCCCCAGAGCCCAGAGACCTGGCCGGCCTGGACTCTCTATAGTGTACACAGGACAGCAGGTAGGGAATCACACAGGGACTGGAGTGTGCCGCCCAGTGCTGAGGGCAGGCTGGGAGAAAGCTTGCCCTAGACCTCCCCGGCCCCCTCCCCGGCTCCCTGCCTGAAGCCTACCGTCCAGGGCCAGAAGCGAATCATAGAGCTTGCATTGCACCTGCCCGGTGCTCTGAGAGGCGCAAGACATCCACAGCCCTTCGTAGAGGCCCACGGCCGTGATGATGGCATCGCCTGCATAGGAGGACTGCTTCCATTGCGGCAGGGCGGTGCTGGCGATGATGCCCACCCAGCCACCCAGGGCTAGGAAGTAGCCCAGGAGCTGGAGGCCTGAGTTGGCCATGGCCTAGGGAGGAGTCCGAGGGTTCCAGGGCTCAGAGATGGGCCAGGGTCTCGAGGCGCGCTGCGGTCATGGTGAGAGGAACAGCTGGAACAGCTGGAACAGGGAAGCTAAGTGGCACAGGAGGAGGAAGGGAGCGGAGGGGACGGCTGGCTGGCCAGCCACAGTCAGCCTAGAAAAGGCCGTGGCTGCTGGATTCCAGAATGCAGGGGGCGGCCCAGGGGCTGGAAAAGGCCAAAGCCCGCCCACAGCCAGTCCCCGGGCAGAGGCTCTTGCCCAGCTTCTTGGGGGTGGAGAGCTGGACCTGGTGCCCAAGGTGGGGTACCCTTGCCCTCCCTGCCTCAAAAGTAAGGAAGGGAGGGGCTAGAGGGAGTGACTCTTCCCCTCTCAAGGCCTTTCCCGCCAGGGAAACCCCTTCAGGAGTGTGATTCCAGTGAGAATTCTAATCCCTCCCGGAAGCACCAGCTCCGCGGATGGCTTTGCTGTGCCTTCGTCCCTGACCTGAACCTGGGGTTTCTTGTCCACTAACTTGAGGATGGAAAGGGAAGGAAAGATTCTAGTTACAGCAGGAAAAACTAGAGTTAGATGTGTGTGTGTGTGTGTGTGCATGCTGGGTATGGAAACCAGGCCTTGCACATGGAAGGCTAACACTCTACCACTGAGTTATACCCCCCAGAGTTAGTTTTTGGTAGGGGCTCCGAGGCCAGATGTACAGAGACTAGGCTAGAGCTGAGGTGTTGGGGAGAAGAGTCCTGGGTACCTGGAAGCCATGTGTATCGAAATAGGGGAGACCAAACCAGGGGACATGTGCTGTAGGGTCTGTTTGGGAATCTGAGGAGTCAGAAGAAGGACCCTACAGTTACCAGGCCAGCAGTGGCTGCAGGCCAGCAGCCTCAGATGTGGTGGGGAGCTGGGGAGACCTGCGCCAGATGCTGGCGTGGGCCCGGAGGAAGGAGAACTGCTCAGCCAGTTAATCCCTTTGCTGGCTGCCTCAGCAGCTCCTGCTGGGACCCGAGACAGCAGGCCTGGGCCCCTAGCTCCAGAGCAGCCTGTCAGGGGCAGGGGCCTCTGTACATTCCTGGGGTTCAGGCCGCCCCCTCCTAGACCCCTGTCTGCCCCTTCTCACTCAGCCCTCGGGAACAGGGAATGTTTAACTCCCCTGGGTCTCATTAGCAATCCTCTCACGTTCATTGCGGGCCCGCGGGCTTGGCATGGGCGCAGGCGGAATGTCACACCCCTGCTCCCACTCCAGCCAGCCTCCCAGCCGCCTCCCTGCATCCCCTGCATCCCACTGCCTTTCCTGAGCTGCAGCATGGCCAGCTTCCTCCCCGCACAGCCTCAGCCCCCTCTGCAGGGACAAACCCCCAGTCTGCTGCCTCACATTCTTCACGTGGGTGCCTGGCACTGTCGGACAATGGCAGGCCTGTGTGCCCGATCCGGGCGTGGGCTCTGGTATGGCCTGCAGCTCCAGCTCCAAGCTAGGAGGGCTTGGGGGAAGCTGGGCAAGGGGTGGAGTGCTGGTTTTGCTAGACAGTGTCACATACGAGGTCCCTCTGACGTCCTGTGTACACAGGACCTGCTTCTTGGGGTAGCCTGCCAACCCCAAAATACCACTGGGGTCCAGAACGGTGACAGAGAAGGTGGTTCCGACTTCAAATTCTTCTGCCCTGCATAACAAAACAGTAGGATCAGAAGATGGAGAGGAGGTGGTTACTGGAGCCCAGAGTGGGGCAGGAGATACAAGCAAAAGACCCCGGGGGGGGGGGGGCAGTGGGACCCTGCTAACCTCAAAGAGGCCTTCCAGATAGGCAGGAAACTGGGATGTGTGTGGTGCTGGCTTCTATGGCCTCTCCCCATGTCTCTACCTTTCTGCTTTTTGGAGGGAGGCAGCCAGTGCAGATAGGGAGGGGCATAAGATGCTCCCTACAAAGGAGAGGACTGTGTAGCCTCAGTGTCTTCATCCCTAAGGGACACTGTTATACCAAGCTGGGATGCTCAGGGGAGGCAGAGGGACCACACTGAAAAGGGCAGACAGGGCCCTTCCTCCCAAAGCTGGGCCTTGGCCTCTTATAAAGACTTCTCTGTGAGGAAGACCAGAGCTCATTCTGACCTTGGGAGCACTGGTCACACACCTGAGTCCTGGAGCCTCAGGGGTACACATAGCACTAGCTGTGACCCTGTCTTCAGACATGCAAGAGCTGAGGTAGACCGGAAGATGGTCACTGTCCCCAGAGCTAACGTGTTCCAGATGTGAAGCCTGAGGGGCAGCAGGATGCCTGTCTGTGTCTCCATTCTGGGCATTTCCTCAAGCCCCACCCAAAGGACCCAGAACCTCCATGATTCTTTTTTGTTTTATGTTTTGAGACAATGTTTCTCTGTGTAGTCCTGGGCTGTCCTGGAACTTTCTCTGTAGACCAGGCTGGCCTCGAACTCAGAGCTCCACCTGCCTCTGCCTCCGAAGTGCTGGGATTAAAGACATGCACCACCACTGCCTGGCAGAAGCCTCCGCGATTCTTACATCTTCCCTGAGGCCCTCCCAGTTTCCCCCTTTGCTATTTGACGATTTGGGGTCTGTTTTACCTAATATCCTCTGCTTTCTCAACAGCCTTCCTGTGCCAATGTTCCGAAGCCATCTGGCATCCAAGTCCTGCTCCTGGAGTGAAGTTCCCTAGCCCAGTATAGCTTCTCCACCCCAGGGAACCTACCATTCTTGGTGGCCCTGCAGCCCAGTGACTCGCAGGCATGCATAGAGGACCGGAAGGCTCAGGGTTCCCAGCCCAGCCTCTCATCAGAGCTGACAGGAACTGCCTGGGTGGACACAAGTCACAGTTCAAAAAAAATAAATAAATAAAATGCTTTTGCTTCTGGAGGGTACTGACTTTTGAAAAGTCTTGATGTAAGGCAAGTCCTCAGCTGGTCTTTGTCCTCAATGGAAAAATAGGAGAAATACCATTTGTCTGTTTAGTTCATGAGGTTACTAGGATCATAAACTGCCATCACAGTGGCTGACCAAAAATGTCCCCAAGATATTGGCTCTAGGATGGGTTTTCCCCGCGGCTGCCTCATCCTGGCATGGCAGACTGCTTAAGGCTGGGAACCGGCTGCCACCTCTTTCATCACTATGCCCAGCTAAGGGCGGCCTTGGTAGGTATGTGTTGATCATTGATGAGTTGGTATGAAGGTTCATTGTTTTTTTCCCTCTCTCACAATGAAATGCCAGGTACTGGTCCACTGTCCTCTCCCATGGCTGGTTAAGAGAGTCTGATTCAGTCGGTTACCTTGGAAGGTATGCGTTGATCATTGGTGGGTTGGTATGAAGGTTCACAGTGGTACTGGCCCACTGTCCTCTCCCATGGCTGGTTAAGAGGGTCTGATTCAGTCGGTTGCAATCTATTATTTTCCTTGTAGCTGCTGTGGGAAATTGGGGGCTCAGAAGTAGTGCCGGCCTTACTACCCCCAACTGGTTAAGTTCCCTGAACAACCACAGGCTCAAGACAGAAATGACTTAGCCTGGGCCACACAGCAAGAAAGGAGGACGACCAACCATGTACCACCCTCAGCTGCTCTGCCTGTCCAGGCATAGTTGAGCAGCCAGACTGAAGTCCCACAATCCTCTGCGTGTTCCCGTTCACTGCAACTGGTACACTGTTTTCCTCCTTCCTCAGGCCCATAAGCAACTTGAGGCTGTACGAGGAGTCTCAGGCCATCTGCCACCGTCTAACTAGGACAAGGACAGGGGGCAGCCTAAAGGTGCCATCACTCCTTGGGAACAGCACTGTGTACAGATCTCTGCTGCCCCCTCCCCCAGCTCTGCAGCTTCCCTAGGCATCAGAGACCAAGGAGTGTCATGCCCATATTGTCCCTGCGTTTGCTGGGTTGTTCCTTATGCCTGTGACACTCCCACAGGGCTGTCTCCATCCTAATCATCTTCCTTATATTGCTGACCGGCTCGCTCTTCTACATGCTTTCCTAACAGAGAGCAAGCACGTACAGTTGCATCTCAGCTGGGACCCCTGCCATCACTCACTGCTTCTGGAGGAGCCTCCCTAGCCTAATGACATACACTTACCTTGGTCCTATC